ATTTTAATGACACTTCGTGTATGCAAAATGATAGATTTCGCAGTTAAAAGGTTTTACACCTAAGACGATAAGAACCCTTGAAGGGTTCTGGCATTCCTGGCATAGCTCTTAGTTGAGTCCTAATTATTTCACTGCTAAATTCATTAATGATTGAAGTAAGTTTCTACGACAGAACTTTGAACAAATATAATTTAATTGACTTTGAGTGAAATTTAATAGATGTAAATAAGTTTTTAAAATATTATTCATTGCAAATTATATTATCAATTACATCTACTTTTATGAGAAGTTTATTTAAAAAATACAGTAATACACAGCTGAGGATTGCAGAAATAAAGTTTGTTTTTTATTATTTAGAGAGAAATTTCAAAATAGTCGAGACACTTGAGAATGAAAATTTGTTAACAAAATTAATTTGATTTCCATCTTAATTGACCTTGCAGTGTGATAGAGAAGTTGAATATAGTTTAGAATTATTATGATGCATATTCATACTGCACGTGAACAACCACAAAAACCTATGTTGGTGTCTGTAACGTTTCAATTCTAATTCCCTTTAGACATATAAATTAAGGATAGTACTCTGTTGGATGAAACTCTAGCTAACAAGTTGATATTAGCGCAAAAGCTAAAGCAGCTTAGGTTAGATTTTTAGTATATGATAGATAAAGTACACAGACGACTAATTTCCAGGAATTCCACTTAGAGTTTTAAAGTAAATTCTCTCAAGTCCAAACTATGGTCTTGGGATTTGCTGCACTGGACTGCTAAGTATAGTTATCCAAATAAGTAAACTTCCTTTAGTTAACAGTTGAGTTATAAACGTAAATTTTAGTAAAACCCAACATACGGACGCTGAAACATAAGCATTTCTATTCATTTATTTTTCATTTTCTGCTGATCTCGATAATTTTTTGTTACTCATGTGAAAACGAGAATTTTATTCCAATCATGAGAAAAACTAGGTCAATGGAAAAAGTAAACACATTCTATAGATGAGTGTTTTTTATAGTAATGTAAAAAAACTTGGTATACGAGAGAAAACAAGAAAATTTTGTTTCTCCTTTTTTTATCTAAGGCAATATTTAATCCTTTTATACAAAGAGAATTATATCTGGATATTTAAACCGCTATTAAAGTGCTTTATTTAATTAAGACGATTACTGTTATTTATGAACCTCAGTCATTCATGGAAATTTCATAGTGTTGAATATCATTGTTATTAACAATTAATTTCCACTATACGGAATTGTATTACGTAATTATTGTTAATTAATTATCTACAAAACTCTTGGGAATAAAACAACAGTGGAAATCCTTAGAGTTGAATTTGCTTTGAGAAAACAGGATTTTCTTGTAATAAAATTCTATTCTATTCAAGGAAATAGCTGAAAGACGGAGTTTTTTAATAAAATGCAGTTTTCTGGAAAAAATTACATTTTATTCAAACAAATTTCATGAAAAGTGTGCTTAATAAAGTCAAATCCTTCATACTTACTATTAATAATAAAGAAACAATTTTTTCTTCTCGACTTGAACAATATTTTCTCATTTTAAAGATACATTTTTGTCTGATTTAAATTAAGTCAGCAATTTTCTAGAATATTTTCTACAGTTTGAATTTAGTCGACAATAAAAGAAAACAGAAAATTTCAAAATCATGACATTCGTTGGTGTAAAAGGTTTCAACAACACATTACTTGATACTTTGAAGTATGTCGTTGAATTTCTCCATTTTCTTGGGCTCTTTATATCACATATTCAGAAATGAAGTCTTTACTCAAGTGTAAAACTAAAAAGAATGTATAGACGTTAGATAGCTTGAAAAGTATTTGCAAAACGATGAAATATCAATTTTTCCTATGCCTGGAAGGAATAAGACGAAACATCCGGTCGTTTTATCAGCCATTTTCTTCGATGTCAGCACTTCAATTTAACCTAACTCTTCTATATGAATTTTCGTATTTTTTGAGAACTTAGCTAAGCATGAAATTTTATTGAAAGTCTAAAAGAATGCCCTAGGTGCCAGTAAATTCTGGATATTTTCCATAAAGCTTGTATTCAATTTTTTTCGTGAATTAATAGATATTATCATTATTTTTTCAAAAGAAAAAAAGCAATAATAAGAAATTCAACAGGATATTTGAGCGGAAACTAACGCCACAAAACTCAAACTTTCTAAAGGAAACGGTAAAGGTAGGAAGTGTGCATTGCAGGGTAGAAAAGTAAATGAGTATGTACCTGGAGAATCGAAAAAATGGAACGTTGGTTGAAGATAAAAATTACATGCAATAATAACCTGAGAGGAAAATGAATAAAAAATCTTCAAAGTTTCGAATCTCTACTGTTAGCTTTTAAATAGATTGAGTCAATCAGCATATTTCAAAAATCGAACAGAAAATAAATAACTAAATGATCAGTTATCTTTTATACAAAAAGAACCTGATCAATATTCAATTAAAATGTTCAAGATTGACTAAACTTTTTCTCCGAATGAAAATTTGAATTATCCCAATATTCTTTCAAGGGTCGCTATAGAATTCGAATGTGCATACTGTTGAATATTTATGATTATCTTAAAATTTCAATTTCGTTCTTATGCATTCAATTTTTCATCCAAAAACACCATCTTTGCTGGCCAAAATGTATACGTCTAGCAGAGATATTCAATAAAATATTTGTATATCATTCAATAGGAAGTCATTATGATTTTCTTGTCTTTTTATTCAAATTGGCGTTCTCGAGGGATCTGGCGATCCTCATTAGGATATCTAGTTAAGGGATAGTTGGTAGTGAAGAAGGTGCCTTGGTCGTTTTTTTGCTTATTACTTAGAATTCCTCGTTGATTCTGCTTCTCATCACTCAATCTACCTCTCCAGGTAAATACTCCGAGTCCCTAGGGGAATCAAATTCATTATAGGAAATAGAAAGATAAATAAAAAAATATAGCTCTAGTTTACTATCAAGTCATAAATATTTCCTGCTAGATGAAGTGGTTTTCAATTCAAATATGGGCACTAAAAAGAGAGAATTCGTGGAGTTCAATATGAGGTATGCAAACAGAAATGATGTATGCTTTGCCAGAGGACCAACTGGTCCACCAATCTCTCTTTCTCTCTCTCAGTGTGACGTATGACATATCACGCCGGAATTACCATTATATCGGTGTGTTGGATCGATAGATCAGTGGTTCTGACGATTAATTGGGATTTAGTTTCGGACCCTGTGCGAGCTACTGGATATTAGGATTGTAGGTAAACCCTCCCGCTTGTTCCAGGGGTATTCGTTTTGCTCAAATGAAGGTTTGACGTTTGGGAAGTTCACATTATCGAATTTAATCGGCTTTACTGATCGAATCCAGTTCTAAGTTGCACCGTCCAATATCATGCGAAAATTATTACTTGACTTTATGCTTACACTAGATATACAGATAAGTATCCCCACAGAATTTTGTCACCTATCTGGATGCTAAGCCCATATATATACACTGCTGTTGATCAATACTGCACCACTTACATCATTTCATTTCCTCTATAATTAACATTTAATAATTTATTAGCATTATTGATTGGTTTTAATGGATTTAATATTAATCTGCAAATTTATTATATTAAACGAAAATTTGTTTTCAAGACTTGTAGACTAATTATAGAAAATGAGAGCTTTATTTTTAATCATGATTAATTATTCGTGTGGTTTAAAAATTTAATGACTACCCATTGAACAATGTATGTGGGTATATAAAACACCATGCCCGTGAGCATTTTAGATAATTCGGATAATTGAACTCGTAATTATAAAATCGATGGTTCCATGAGAGATTAAAATAGTGGGTTTGTAATCCAAGTATCTTACCTTGGTACATAAATAACAAACTATTGCGAGTTTCACTCAGGTTGATTTATGGACTATTGAACGACAAAAGAAAGTCTTACTTGACACTAGCGCAACGACAAGAGTCTCTAGTCGTTTAATAGGAGGGAGACAAATGTTGATTATTTTGCAGATAAATTCGTCCGGGCGTGGTTGGAACGTTAATTGAAAGCAACGTCAACTAGGTGGACTCGAAGCCTGTCAATGCAACTGGAATACACGATCAAATTACAGAGAGATAAATAGACTGTGGTAGTAAAATTGACAAAATTCTAAATGTGTTGTTGCATTAGAATCAAAAGAAGAGAAGCAGCATCGTGTGTATTGAAAAGTGTTGCAATGTAATTTACTAAAGTTGTGTTTGAAGCCTAGTGGAATTAATGTTGGGGAATTATTGGACTGACAGTTGTGTTGTGTAGAAATCAGAGGAAAATAACCAAGCAGAGTAACTATCAGTGGTACATTTATGGTTTTCATGTTTGCGTCACTTCTATCAGACATTATGCTTTGACGTCAAATGATTTAATAGAAAAAGAGCTTTGAATAACTTAATTGATTATGTTACAAATTAGTTTCAACTAAAATCAAAGTATTTGTTGATGTGAAATATTTATATAATCAAAGGTTGCTGTTCAAAATATGCTGTGCTGTTTATAAATTAATTTATTAAATTAATCAAAATGATTTATAAATGATAGATTTACAGTTGAAGTATTATATATTATCAGAGATTTTATTATCAGAGAGAAATATAGAAATATATTTAGATTGAATGGAATATTAAATTTATGCTATTTGCCAGAGGATGAAGCTTTTAGAGACAAATGGCTTCCACCATAAATTCATTTTTACAATGAAAAGTGACTTTGGACAGAGACAATCGTAGCTGGTGTAATTTAAAGGATAGAATAGTTGAAGATTTTTCTTCAGAATTCAATTATTCTCGTTTCTACACGCACGCTAAGGGAATTGGGTATTCTCCAAAGAGTGAACTCTTTAAGAACCGAGAAATCGATGAAAGAGGTATCTCCAAGTTGAACGGACCTGGAAGAGGTAAAAAAGAAAATTGAAAGAACTAAGTCGAGTCGTTTATGTCGTCGAGATAAATTTAGGAGGGTGCCTCCTAAACCGCCACAGTGTGCGGATTGGGGCGAATTCTCGGCTACATCGGCGGAAGACCGTCGGTGGGGGCCACAATGTCGCAGTCTGGTTCTGGAGAGCCAAACGGTAACCAAGGCGAGAGTCCTGGCCAACTAGATACAAATCACCAGCAGTCTGATGTGCCAAATAAAAATGGTATTGCAACTAAAGAATCTAAACCGGACATGTCCAATGGCTTTGAAAATCGAACGGTGGATTATGAGCGTTTGGCACAGGAAAGAAATCAAACCACTCAGTCATCAATATTACGACCTCAACAACAATATCCTCCTCATACTACAGAATCTTCAACGATGGATTATACGATTCCGCAAACTGGCATCTACCCTACTTCCGTCAGAGCTCAGACAACAATGGGTCAGCCGGAGGATCGACATCCACTCGCTGGACAACTTCCTGTACAACAATATCCACCGGAGAAAGCTCAATTGGACCGCATTACTCATGTATCGCAAACGGCTACGCAGACGGTTCCTGTTCAAACACAGCCGCACTTTGCTCCAGATTTTGTACCCGATCAGAATCAGTTTCCGCAGATTCGTGGTCAATTTGAGGTCAGATCGCAGATGTACTCGCAGCAGGCAGGTCAGTATGGCGATCGTGTTGGCTACGTGACAAGAGACGTCACGTACAGAGATTCAGCTCTTTATGCACACGCTCCAAGCGCTAGTAATGCAGTATTCACCGGAGCAAGTGGAGGATATGTTACAGTTCAACATGGATCGCAGTTGCCATCTCAATCAGCAAGTCCACAGCCTCCTCCTTTTTATCCGGGGGTTATCATGACCGCCCAGCCATCTGTCTCGCAGAGTTATGGACAATTTGCAGGACAGCCTCAGTACCATTACAGTCAATATCCACAGACTTTAATAAACCCCATTCCATATAATCCTCATGCTCCTATATATCCTGGTCAACAGTATAATCAACAAACCTCTCCTAATCCGCAAAGGTATTCACAGGAAGTATCTCAGTATCCCGGTCAGCCTATCATTCAACCAATCGCGCAAAATGTAATTACATCCACAGACCGGCCAGGCAGTGGGCGTGGTCCTAAGCCTATAGTTCCACCAAGAATCAATTCAAAAATCACATCGGACGCTGGATTAACTAGAAAAACAATTACTGTTGATATTCTGGGCTCTAAGCCAGCGGTTTTACCTCCTAAATATGAAGCTACCAATCAAACTGTTCCAACTTCGCAAGAAGCAGCTATTATTGTTTCAACAGTTCCTGTCTCTGTCTCTGACAATAGGTCCTTTCTTGCTCCTTTAAATCAAACTCCTCGTACTCGTCAAGACGGTCTCTATGTTGATTCAAATAACGATCAGTCAACTAGAGATAAAATTGTCGATACGATGGCAAGTGAATGTGCATTGTATGTTTCTCGATCTGAACAACGTAAGTCTATATCAGTGGACGCGACTACTAGTGTACAAAGGCGAAATGATACTATTACTTTTACGTTTCCTGGAGATACTTCGGATGTGTCAATAACAGCACGTAAGCCACCAGCTGTTGATAAAAAGTGGATAGAAAATACTACTCAAGTGTTCCCTAATGATCAAAGAAGAATCGAACCAGCGCTTCGAGTATCCTCTATGACGTTCGATTCACGACAAGAAATAAAAAAAAATGTTGCACCTGAGGTTGTTGGTAATAGGAAACCTGAATGGGGTAATACAAGTCCTAATCAACGTTCAACAGTAGCCCAAGAAAATAGACGATCAGATTATTTTGAAGAACATCGACGATCACCAATGCCAATGGATCAAAAACGTGTTGATGAAGTCAGACGATCTCCCATGCCTTTTTTGCCTATTAGAGATTCATCTGCTGATCGAGCAGCACAAAAAAGTCCATCATTTGCTAATCAAAATTTTGAAAAAACAAGACAAGAATTGGTTATTTGGGCAGAACAAAGACAACGTCAAGATATAGAGAGAATTCATCAAGGTCAAGTATTTACTGCTAGTCCCAGGTCACGAAATCCATCTGAAGAACGTCGAGAGTCGAGAGTCATGTTACCAGTTGAAGAGCAACGTGCTAAAGTCCCTCAAGTTGCTTTCCAACCAATACCCAACATCAGTCAAAGTACAATAATGGAACAACGACGACATTTGCGTCATGTTAGTGCTGATTTAACCAAACACATGGAATTGACTCGTAAGGATTTTGAAGATCAACCAGTGACTGGGTCGGTTGCTAATCTTGTACCTACAATAAATACTACTTCTTCTCAACGTGCTAGTCCAAATCTCTGCCATCAGTTTCCAGCGATGAGTGAAGCTAAACTTGACACTAAGACTCTGCTGACTGTTGTAACAGATTTTGGCGAAAATCCAGTTAAACCACTAGAACAGTCGGATCACATTATACATAGTCATAAGAAAAGTCATGTGTCGACAAACTTGCTTACTCACAGTAAAAGTCAAGTGGAAAATCTTCAAAGTGTTCAAGCAGAAAAAAATGAATCAACTTTAAGTCAACAACAACAGCAAATACATAATCAGCAGAGTCTTGATATAATTGCAGAAAAGCTAAGTCAATTCGAACGTCAGCAGAGTGATTTGCAAGCAAGACTTCAATGTTTACAGAATCAAAATCATCTCTTAGACCAAGTTGCTCAATTCCAACACCAACAAGCAGATCTGCAAAGTCGTTTGCAGTGTCTTCAGGATCGACAAGCCTCTGAAAAGTCATTAAGACAAACCATAGAATTACAACAAAAAAGTGTGCTGGGTGATATTCATCTTTTGCAATTGAACAATCTCACTGATCAAGTCCCTGATTCATCAATAGACAAGCAAACTGATCATCAGCATTCACATCGGAATCCTAATAATGCTTATCTATCAACCATAAACTTTCCTAGTCAAATGTGCCAATCATTGACATCTGAGAGATTATCACCACGAGTGCAGTTTGAGACTCCTGATATTGAGAGAACTTCGCAAATTTCATTATCGAGTAACTCACATTTCGAAAGGAACGACTCAGCACGAGGGTCTTTACAATATCGATTATTATGCCCGGCAGATGTGTCTGAGAATGTGATTGCTGCTAATTCATCTACATCCACTATTCCCTCTAGTTCATCCTCGACTGCTGGAATCACGTTTTCCGGTACTTTGAAAAAAGTGCCTCCAGAAAAACCACCACGAACGTCACTCATCGTCCAGTCACCTGAATCAGAGGTAAAACATCTAATCCAACTCTTACGAAAGATTTATATGTATTTTATTATACATGTATATGTGTGCATCTATTATCTTGTACGTACCTAGACCATGCTCAGGATAGCTTCAAGCGCACCTGTGGTTTTATCTAGCGCCTCTAGTGCCAAGAGAATTGGGGTTCCACTAAGTAAACATCCCTGGGATTCTATCGTTCCTTTCAGAGTACTTGGGCTTGTAAATTCCTTTAATAATTTCTCGTCAGGAAAATTAAATGAGAAAGCAGGGTAACAAAATGGAAACTAAAATAATATGATATGACACAATATTATTCTCATTTGTATAAATCAATGTGGGTTTCATATTTCCTTTTAGCTTTCATTTGTTAACGTCAAAACTAATGTTATTAAAGAAAAAAAAATTAAAATACACTGGTATAATAATTTCAATTATATGAGTATTTCTTGCAACAAATTTTCTTTAATATATTAATTTTCTCTATTTAATATATGCTGGAATAATAAAAAACATCATGTTATTTTTAAAGTTTACAATATTGATTTTACATATTTTGATACTTGATTTTTTTCAACTTAATTATTTGTTTTTGTTTAATAATTCAATATGTTGTGGTTATTAGGTGTTTATAAAAATCTCTATTATTTATTTTATAAAAATATTCCATTGTACCTATTCTTTCCAGGAATTTTCAATAACGATCCTTTATTGCTGCTCCATGCTTTCATAATTCAAACAAAGGTTGGAAATTCAAGTACTCCTTTTTAGTTTATTTTTTTTTTTTTGTTCTTACTCAATAAATCCCAACAACCGAAAACTAAAACGTTTTTTTTAATCTTTAACACAAGCTTGAATGTATTTAACTCTGGTATTTATCAAAAGAAATTCGCTTTCTTCAAAAGCCATTGTTTAAATATCCTAAAAATAATCCATTCGAGATTGGTAATCATCATTCTAACAAAAAACCTTTTCTACTTTTACCTAATTTACATTTGTGTTTAATTTTTTTTCAACAGTCTATGTCGTTACATATCTAAAAAAATTATCACTTCATATTTGTCTTCTCTAGATGATTAATTTCAAAATTTTGACTAAAAAAATATTTCAACATTATAAATCTTCAACCCTGAACACTTACTAAAAATGATTTATTTATTTTTTTACCACTTTGAATTTTTTCTCTGTCCATCCGTTACTGGACAAACACATTATTTTAGTCACAATTCTCATCATAATTTCATCCGGATGACGGTTGTGAGTTTGTGGACGTCTGTGAGAATAGTCGTTTAAATTTCAGCCGACGTAGGCAAAGAGGGGAAGCATGAACGAGGACTTGGACGTTATCAAGCGACGAAAGTGTTGCGAATGCGTCGTGTTTCATGAATTAAATATGAGTCCAGAGGTTACGGACATGTGGTGAGTTTTCTAAGGCTTGCGTCTGTAACGAAAATTTACAAGAGCAGATATTGATTCGGTAGTAAAATTAAATCTCTTAACTAGACACAGTATCACTAAAAGGCTAAACTATGTAGTTGAGCTTTGTTGGTTAAGTGAAATTAAATTAGTGAGCATCAGTGGCTGCTAAAGAAAACCTTGAGAGCTTTGTCATCATGTTATAGTATGATACTTAAGGAGAGGATGAGAGTAGGATGTTATTATAGTCAATACTAAGTGTAAACGTGCTGAGTATAATGTACTAAAATGTTTATTTACCTTATCAGTATCATTGATGATCTTCACAATGAATCTATTTATAACATGTTCTACAACTATCTCCAGTTGTTGTAAATTTATCTTCCAGATAACTCATCCAATGATTACTAGACTTGAGGGCATCTACTGGTCTTGAAAGCTTCTTCAATTACCTTGAATATACCTTGAAATTATTGTTTTGACATCGTAGTATCATTAGTATCCCTCAGTCTTAGAATCCATCATAATTTATGTAACTTCAACTCCAAGCCAAGTCTCTACAGCTCTAAGCTGTTTGTAAAGACTTTATGAAGCTAATTTTAAGAATACCATTAAAAGCTGAAAAATTACTCTAAAAGAATTCCATATTTCTTTGTGGGAAAGTCAAAGGTTGGATTAATCAATTGCTCTAAATCTTGTGGTTTTGCTATCAAAAGGTAGTTAACAAGACCTTCATTTTTTGTAGCTTCGCTGAGCGTTTTACGAGTGGTTAACGAAGACATTTATTGCTGGAAAGAGGTATGAACGTGAAGGTAGTTGAGATGTCTAGGTTCAACTAAATTGTCAGTAAAATAATAAACACTCTGAAATGGTTTACTTGATGTACTGATACTTGGTACGAGTTGTCATATCATCTTCGTATGATTCCCATTTAAATGTTATACAACATTTGATATTGCATGTAGGTATCTTTAGTCAAAGCATTACATGTAATCTTCAATAACTTTCTTGATTATTCAGGTCGACTTAGTGGTTACTTTCTATTATCTAAGACCTCTTTAGTTAAAATAGTTCTATCTACTTGGTATGTATTTAATTACAATTTACATAATAATAAGACATGTGAATAATAAAATAATCTTGTGTGGTGTGGAATGTAAATATATTTATACAATATTTGAATAGTATACAAGGGTATTTAATAAATAATTGAATTTGTGTATCTAGTTTACATTGGAATAATAAACACTTTTTCTATGTATTAATACCAAAGACTTTGCATAAAAATGATAGTTGATGAACTAGAATACTTAAACCAGATTATTTACTATACAGTATTTTTTATTTTTTTTTAAAAAAGATGTGAATATGAAATACAGATAAATATAGAGAAACGTTTAGTATTTTAAGCACATTGATTACAATATTTAAAATGAATTACTATCGATTATAAAGGTATAAATTCATGACTTTAATCTCTTTGAAATTGATTGAAACAGGGCGATAGTAAAAGAAAAAATTTTTATTTCATTTTTTTTTTCGTATTGAAATATACTTTTAATGTAATTGAAAAAGTTTTGTTCAATTACCAAATGCTTTTTCTAGTTTAAAAAAAATAATAAAACTGTTTTCTTTTGGATGATTGAATTTAAAATTAATCGATACGTTGATACCAAAAATAATATTTTGATATAATTAATTGAATAATTTTATACAGTGAAAGAAGTTAAAAGATTGTCATAAGTAATATATTTTAATAACCGTTCTGAAATGGTGCTTCTCAAAATGGACTTTGTTCGTTAAAGAAGCTCATTAAAGATAACAAGGTCGAGGGTCTTCTCTCAGCAATTTTCTGCAGGGTATAATACAAGTATTCTTTGTTTTTTTCTGTCTTCACAATTTATGAGCTCGCTTGATTTTTATTAACTAAAAGATATCAAGTACAAGAGCGAAATTAGATGTAGCGTTTGATGAGACAGAAGAGTGAAGAATCAAGGCCAAACGGATAGAGTATACTTAACGATGGATTGATAAACAATTTATGAGTGTGAAAAAAAAGAATGATGGGTGTGTTCAAAGCTTGAAAAATCGATTGGACAATCCTGAAGAAGTGGCTGACGGTAATGCAAAGTTTATATAGTACAATCTACTGCTTTTTACTTGAATGGGTCAATTACGTGTGGCTTCTTTGAAAGTTTCCTGAATGAAACGACGCCTGGTGTTGAGCTTTTCACCCTCTGACACCTTCCCTCCTTTTCTTTATCCACTGCCACACCCAATGGCGTTAATTATGTTTGCTTTAGCTTCAATACCATCTCGACGACAGACTAAAGTGGCCTACATGAATCTGTGATGAGAACTGATAAGAATAAAATTCCTTGAACCGAATTCAGTCCAATAAAAGACTCAGCATCCCTACTTGAGGAATGTTTAGAGCAGTTCAATTGATCCGATTTTCCTGGAATATGGATAACTGGTTGGAAAAAAAAAAATTAAATAGAATGAGAGAACAAGCAACACAGTAAGCTGAAAGTGGAGTGAAGTGAAAAAGGCAAGCTATCGAACGAATAAACAGGATAAATAATAGTAACGGCATAAAATCCTCGATGAGTGTAGAATGGGATGAACGCAAAACGGGTGAGGCTGTTTGCGAGCACTACACGGCCAAGTAGAAGCGGGTGCGAATGCAGATAAATAAAGCTTTACTTGGTGAGTCTACATTTCTATACATGGTACTGTAAGGACCGGCTATGAGCATGTCGACGAAGTAGAATATCAAATGAAATAGTGAATCAAACGACGTTCGAGACTTGAATTTGCATTTTCATTTCCGAGAGATTGCCAGGAGAAGCTGTAGTAGCATTGCAAATTGCTCAACTATTCGTTACTGAACAGGTTAAACTATTTTAGCATCAATTTTGATTATTCTAATGCTTGATTTATTTATTTATATCATATTTACATTCCCCCAAAGAGCTATTAACAATAGTTAACTTTATTTTTCAATTGACTACAAAATTTCCATTTCCATGTTTAAATAAAATTTTTTTGTTATTTTGTTTGAGAATGAAAATAAATGGAATATAAGATATTGAATGATGCTTTTATTGGTAATAATTAAATGGTAAACCCAAATGAAGTTTAATAATAACTTTTCAATATGGGATTTTTTTATTAGACATTCAGATATTTTAGTAAATACGAGATGGATTATTTTTAAATAAATCCTAATAACTTGGTTTAAATATGGAAAGATCTATATGGATTCAAAGTGAAATTTAAATGTCCAGGAAATTTCTAAATTTCCAAAAGCAATAACTAACGGAGTGGAATATGCACGAGCAAGTTTCACCGCAAAAACCACAAAACAGATGGTTGCAAATTAAAAAAAAAAAAAAGGAAATAAATAATAAAAAGAGTAAAGAGTGGAATATTGAACTGTAAAACTGTCGTCAGTAGATTGTGTTATCGAAGAGTTGATGAAATAATAAGTGAAATAAAAAGTATCTAATTAATGAAACAACCATTTAATTCTGCTTGCATTGTACATATATTTGTAAGTTAAATAATTATCAATATACACGCCAGAGGCTAGTTTAAATACAGAATTACCTCGATGCAATTGCATTGTTCGAACATATCTATACGTGATTGGTATCAATAATTGGAAATTTGTGAAATGGGTTTGTAGCTAATTCTATATCCTTGTAAAATAATAAAATATTTTCTCGTGGTAGATAACACAGATGATTTTCCAAAGAAGATGTTCATTGGATATTGATTATCTGTCTACTCTCAGCTACTCGTATTTCAGATAAAATTTGATTTTCTCGTTTTCTTTTATTCTTTCAATGATATTCCTTCTTAGTATCTATTGCGTTTTTCAATTATGTCAATCATAGAGGATATTGGAGATCCAACTTGTTATATGTCATCTGAAAATCCTAAAAAACTTTTTTGTTCACAAAAAGAATGGAGCACAAATAGTTTGGAAAATTATTTTTTTTTTTCTACTCCATTGATCCTTTGCACATTTTTACTAAATACAAACTTACCTCCCCATCATATGGAAAAAGGGTAGCAAGTTGTAAGCATGCCGTTGGCATCGTAATTACTGAAGTAGGTCGAGCACCTTCGGCACTTAATTTCCAACGTCATGGAGCCGATAATAGCGGAATACTACTTTAGAGAAATATCAAAAAGGATGACGAAACATCCACAGTCATACGTTGAAAACTGGAAACCAATGAATTAAGAAAAAGATAAACATTTTTTATAACTCATTTAATGGTATTTTTTACGTAGATTTTAAACTGCTAGAACTATAAAAGCTACGAAAGAAGAAATAATATACATAAAAGTTACGATTGGTTCCATTCAAGTAATCCCTTATCGACTTTATAACTGACTGCTATTACACCTGACTGACTCATGTCCCATAACTCTGCTTCAACTATTATTATCCATTCTTCTTCGATTTTACTACTTTCTTTTACAGTCTCGATTTACTACGAATCATTACACTGAAAAATTCAAAGACAAATAATTCACCTCTCGTATATATCACCAACCAACTTGCACAATTTTAATCTCGTCCATCAACTAAGATAAGTTCCTTCAAAATTCTCCAGTTCAATCTATAACTCTCCAATGTCATGCTAGTCAAGTTTCTCTGGCTGTAGGTTGGATTCACAACACCACAGTCTCTCTCGAGGATTGATGGTTGGCCAACGCGTTAAGGATAATCGTAGTAATTGGACTAATTGCGAGATGAAATTATTTGGAATTAATTGGTATAAACCGCTTAATTATCACGCTGTACAAGACGGGGTAAGCGAATTCGTATTGCAATGTTGTGAGTTTCAGCATCCCCCGCAGATGCTACATAGCCTCCTGTTTTGTATTCACGATTAGCTAGACTCATGTCTGTAGTTTGGCCAACTACGTCGACCCCATCTTCTCTCTCTTAGTTCTCTTGTTGCTATTGTACGTGATTCCCTACCTCTGATTAGATTCTTCTTTATTTTGTGTTGTGTATATACTATTCGTAAGCTTCGACTCTCTTGGGTCCTTTAACGATTTATGTAACACGATTTCCTCCTGACTTTTAGTAACATCTACATCTAGTGCTTAGTTGGAACAATATAATTTTTCCTAGTTAGTTGTCTGATTGAATAAATTGCTCTATTCAACTTGTTTTAAAAAGAGTTCTCGGTATATAAAAACTATTATTCAGATTGCGAAAAAAAATAATTTTTATGCTAAAATAATTTTTTTATTCATTGAAAGTGTAATACATGCGAGATCACGAATGGATGAGAATAATGGAAGTTTATTCATTCAAATAGGAAAATAATTGAATAAATATCCAATTAATTAAAGATCTAGATTTTTTTTTATATATATTTTTATGTATATCTGTTACTAAGGGGTATAAAAAAATTGAACGAGGATAAAATTATTTAACAATTAAGTTTAAATGCTGTGGAAAAAAACCAATAAGATAATTTCTCAGTAATTGCCAAAAAAGAGGGAAATTTTTTTTTTCTTATTAGTATGCGTCACCTTTCACCTTGAAATTGCTCAGCTATAGTTTTACATAAAATTACATTCCCTTTACTGCGAAAAAGTCACGTTTTCTGTAGAAATAAATATAACCTCAGAACGATTAAATTCTTTCGTAAGAAATCTCAATTACTCCTTGTTATTACTTTGTGTCTATGGACTTTAATTCACTGCGACTTTTTTATTTGCAGAGTAACCGTAGCCAGCCAGCCATTGGACTCAAGCAAACACCTAAGGCGAGGGTGAGTTTTTTATTTTCTTTCATATTTAAGTTTTTCTTCTTACTTGAGTCTATTTTCTTTATTTGCTTTATAAAAGCAAATACTGCATTAACAATCAGTGGTATCTTGGCCCCATGACGAAAAGTTTAGAATTGCAAGTGTACAAGTTATAATTCACGTTGAATCTGCGATGATGTCAGGACTAATGTTAAAATGAAATTATGCAAAGTCGCCATGATTAATTCAGAGAGAATAGTCAAGTTTGTTTCGTCTTGGGAACAGATCCACGATGACATAGTGAATAAATGTGTTCAAAAAAATATAAAAGAATAAAAAAAAACGTGAAAAGCGACACGAAACCGCTGATGTATATTCGAAACTCTACATGAGTGCCCTTACATTTTTCCCCAAACAAAGCCAGTGTGCGAGGTAGACTCCACTGTGACTTACAACTCTTTTTCATCCTCATCCCCTGTGGAGTGTCGAGGAAAAATAAAAAGATGCTTCTTACGAATACGACTTTGAAAACAACTTTTTTTTTACCTCGTTTTGAAAAGTCTTGACTATATTGGAAAACACGCCAGATAAACTGGAGTTGAATAAACTGTTTAGATTTAAATGAAGCTTACAATATCTCAATAATTAATCAACGTTTTTTTAATTAATATTATTTAACCACCGATATCCAACACTCCGAAGATAACAACTTCACTAAATTTCACAGTATTTTTAATCAATTGATTACTTTTTATTGACCTGGAGAAAATAGTGAATGTCACATATTTTCCGTGTTGATTTTAGGTAATATGAAACAGATTTTATTAAAAATATTTGTCATAAATTTCTTCGAAAATTCCGACGGTTTTATTTATTAATAAAAAAATACTACGACGGAAAAAGAAAAGAACACTGAATAAATCAAAAGATATACAAAACGTAAGCAAATTTATTCAAATATTTTTTTTGAGTCAACGTTTAGAAAATAATTTACAATCATAAAATCTTTGCGTGACTCTAGAAGAAAAGCAAAATCTTGCATGTTAAATACAAGACTGAAAACTAACAATTATCCAGCTCGGTGAGCTGTACATTTTCTAGCTCTTGTCATCACTTCACCGTTCCATGCTTTCTATTTCTCTTCGCTTAATTTTTTATGTATTAAGTTTTATCTCGAGGATAGTATAAGCTTTTGTTCCCTTTCATATTAACTTTGACTCGTTTGCTAAATTTCACAAAACAGCCTGAAACTAGATACATTACAATAGGAAATGATCACTGAGAAATATTTAGATATTAAACTTGATATTATCATGATGGGTAAATTGAAAGGAAACTCAAATCAAAGGGAAAGTTGAAAATTTTATTCTCTCGTTATTGTTCCTTTTTCTACTCAAATCTTCGTCAGGATTTCATCTAGTGTATTTTGATTTCTTTGCTTGACTATTTAAGATCACATTGCAGAAATCGTAATTCATGTAGAATGATAATAGCTCCACGTAGCCGCCGGCGAGAAATGTAAATGAGTAGTTGATGTAGTATGGTATGTCCTTTGCGATGCAACGAATTGGTACTAGGCTTGTAATTATCATTACAAATGGTACCGTCTGCATTGAACCACACCTTTGTCGCATTGTTGGGCACCTTCTCGAGATTCTCCACCTCCTTGTTGTATCCTCGTTCTCTGGGACCACTGATGGGTTATACACTCATAGATATGCTAATACTTTGGAACGTAGTTGATAACAGTTGAACCAAACTGTGACCATCAGACAATTGATAGCCTCCAACTGAATTGATTGTAACTATCAATTCAACACTAAATAAACTAGCAGTTTTTTTTTTTTTGCTTTTCAAAGCAATACGATTGGGAATTTTTTTAAATAGCTCTTCTATCTTTTTAAGTGACTCTTTGTAAAAGGAAAAATGATTTTTTACAATTGAAGTGAAGAAAAAAACTTATAAACAATAAGAAAAATATGGAACAACTTTTGTGTGAGGAATAAAAATGAAATGTAAATTTTTTTGTTTTTTATTTTTCCGGACGATGTTCCAAAAAGTTTGTGCTATAAAAATACTTTTCTTCCCTTTGTTAGAATATATGGATAATTCTCTCACTGTTTCTACTTATTAAAAAAATTCAAACATTTTCAAATGAGAGTTAATTCAACAATTTTAATTGAGTTTTAACATTCTGAAATGAATCCTTAAATAAGATATATTTATTTCCAAAAAATTATTATATGTTTCCCGTTGTTGGTATTATTGTTGAGAGTAAAAGGAAGTTCAAAGGAAATTTTTCCCACTGGTAAATGCCAGTATAAAACAAACACAAGTAATTTTATTTTTCAAATTTATCTGCAAGTAGTACATCAACAAATTTATTATTTTTATGGTTTTATGTTCAGATTAATTTCACCCTCATAAAAATTAATATTATAATTTTAAAAAAAGACAATATCTACATGAATTAAAGAGAACAAACTGTCTAAAAAAATCATAAAATTCATAAAATATTCATATTCCTTTGTACTCGCACATGACAGATATATGACGGTAATATAGAATTCATAAAATATTTTTAATATCACTTGCGAAGAAAATCAGCAATTTCAAGGTAATAAAAAATTTTTAAGAGTCTTAAAAGTTAGTTTAGAATTCAGGTGGAATAATTAAAAATTAATGATAGCACATTTATCCTATTAGAACCTAGGTTTTTTATATTCCTTCAATTTCATTGAGTAGTCAGACATTAGATACTATGATCAGAAAGAAAAGATCATAATGGGTAATGAAAAAAATTCCCAAGTTCTCTAGTACTTTCAACATATAAAAAAGAATACGATAATAAAAAATTATTCAGGTGTAATTATAACTTTAACTAACCATTATAATTTGAAATGATCAAAATGTCCTCGTTTTCTTTTTTTTTATTAAGCTTTAAATCATTTTAATTCCGACAAAGAAAATTTAAGAGACATATCGTTTTGTCAAACGGTTATCAATGCATTTAAATGATGAGCCAATTGCGCAACGAAAAGTCAATGTCCTCTGGAATGGAGGTGCGAGATACAAAAATAAAAAAAATACGGGAAAGCTTCGGTCAATGTGAGGATAAAAACACGCGCAAGGGAGAGAACGTGGTTCATCCATTCATCTAGAACAGAGAGTAACTCGCTGACTTTTTATAACAAGTCAAGCTTGAAACCCGTGTGTGTCTCAATGTATGTGAATGTGAATATGTGCGCATGTCTTTCAACTACTGTAAAAAAATACTTCAAGTCCTGGAAAACACTCTCTCACTTTAGACGAATCGATTTTACCCAGTAATCAGAGCTTTGAATGACCTACGATAATTACAAAAATCCACATTTATTCTCCTCTTTGCTTTTCTATTCTCTTTGATTCTGTTTCAATCTCACTTTCTTTGACAAAAAATAGTTCAATAAATATCCAATTATATTTTGTATTCTCTTTTTACAATTGCTACTGATTTTTAATTATTTTTATTGCATGAAAAACCCAATATTTCACACATACCAAATAATCTATTGGCAAATATTTAATTTATTTACTAGTTTTCGATGCGTAAAATGCAAAAAGTTTTTTTGTTAGTAGAAATAATTTATCTTGAAAGAATATTTTATCAAGAATTTTTCAAATTATTTATTGAAATATTTTTCAGATTGTAATATACAAGTTGACATTTATGTATAACTTTAAAAATATATTATAATCAGTGTAAAGGATCTGCCACGGAAAAATAATCAATATTCCAAGACGTAGTTCAGTTTCTTTTATCTACATCCTGTTTAACCATAAAAATTTACTTTTAATAACTTAATCAAGTTTCTCTTTATTTAATAACTTTAGTATCTACTTTGAAACTGCTTAGAGTCAGATAATGATAAATTCCAAGAACTTTTTTAATGAAGTTTCTTTTATTAAATCTTTTGAATAAAGCTTATCAATATTCAATAAGTTTACTGAATGCGTATGTTATTGATAAAAAACAGCCTGTCTGTATAAAATATTTATTAAGGAAAATTCAGAGCAAATTTTCTCTCTTTCTCTCTCTCATATAAACAATTTCAATAGATTATAGAGTTTTTAAAAGTTTTAAAGAATAAGAAAGTATTCTTTTACAGTATAAGATTTTCAAAAATTTACTTTTCCAGTCTTTGAGTACACTTTGTATGAGAACAAAAAACATATTTCTTCTTTATTCTACTTGTAGGGAAAAATGTCAAGAACAGTATGTACTAGCTTTTTTTTAACAAAAATAAGACAGAAGAAGTTGACAGTAGCTTGTGAAAATTCTAACTTTCTTTGAAATGCCGTGCTTATGTTCATAATAATTACATAAAACAGCTTAAACTCATTTAGAAAGTACTTTTACGTTATGCTATAATGAAATGATCATTGAAAACAATTAGAAACTATTTTTAAATTAAGTTTATATAAGACATCATTTAATTACTTATACAAATTACCTTCAAAATCAAAGAAATTTGATTATAGTTATTTAATAAAGTAAAAATTTTGATGAAAATATATTACACGTAAGTAAAAGTAAATTTAAGTCATAAAATACTTTCCTCTGGAGGTATCATAAGTTATTTTATTAATTTTAAAAATATTTTATCATTAATTAAAAAGTTAAACTCACTATAAAAAATATTTATCTCAATTGTTACATCATTAAATGATGTATTTTATAACTATAAATGTTATTTTTTGATGTAAGCAATTTTCTTGCTAGTGTAGACTCATTTCAAAGTGAATAGTTATGCACACTATAACGAACTTACTCAGAAGTTCTTGGATATAATTTGACATTTTGACAAAGACGAGAGTTTTCACCAAAGAATTAATTGTTTCTTACTCAACGTATGCACTGCGTTGTTTGCGTATAATACATCTATGCATTGTTAATGCAATAATTTTGTTCAAACAAAAACTAGTTTCCCATCTGCCTTATTCGCATTAAATCCTTGGGGAAATTGGAAGGGTCAATTTATAAG